AAGGTTGCCTGGCATTTTGCATAGTTAGGCTCTGTGTTTGTTGTTTTTAAATCTTCCAGCTCTAACCATACAGTGTGCCATTTTCCAAGCTTGGTGCCTGCTCAGAGTTTTGGAAAAGGTCAGCCAACAATTCAACTGTTTCTGAAAAGAAAATAACTAACCAAGCTAAAAAAAACGTGGCATTTTCTTTGAGCTGCTCTAGCACCCCCAAGCTTTGGAGCATTCACATGAAGTCTGTCAGGAGGTGGTCTCCCCATCTGGGACATGCCAAGAAAGAAGTCTTTGAAAATATGTGGTTTACAATGATCAGGAGAAACATATTGCAGTTTATAACTCACTGCCCCAGAGAAACTGTCTGCAACGACAATGTCCCAGCTTCTGGTGAGCACAGAAACTGCAGTTCTGTGCTGAGTGGGCTCAGTGCTTTGCACCAGACACCAGATGAGGAAGATTCTCTTGTGCTCCTCAGGCTCCCCCTGCTTTTCATTCTGTGATTCTCTGGCTCAGCTTCAGTGAGCACTGACAGCTAACCTGAGTGTGTTTCCTCATCTTCTTGTAATATTGAGTGGGTAGGATGTTTTAGTGCTTACAAACTGGAATAGGTGGGGCAGTGTGGGTGTAAAGTCCTTCTCTGCTGAAAGAGCTGTGCAGAGATCAGAATGTGAAAAACATAAATCATAGCAAGAGTGTCACCAAATAAAAGAAGATTAATTAAAGGCGAGAACTGGGTGTCAGATTCTGATCTCATGGCTTTTCTATATAGATACTGTTCAAGAAAATCTGAAGAAAAAGGAAAGCCTTTAAAATCTTTAAAATATTAAGCCTCCACCCGTCCTTTGTGGGCTTTTATTTTTCATAGGTTTTATATTTTTATATTCATTCCAGTAATGATGTGAACACACTTTTAAAAATTACTTGGTGCAAAAGTCTGTGTGCACTAAAGTTAATCCTGTAAAAGATTGATTCCTCCTTCTTCACACACACACACACACACTGAACTAATCTGTCCAGTCTTCCTCAAAACCTATTCTCATACTTTCATCAGTGTCAGGAGTACAAGTAACAGTTGCTTATTAAATTTCACAAATGAAGTTAATGCCCACTTCTCTCTCATGTTTTGTTTGCTTCTTTACAGTTGCTTGCACAGCTCAAAGGAGAGGCCTTTACAAGGAGAGTTATACTAACCACACATTGTTTGGTTCACACTCTTCCTATTCACAAATGTCTTTGACTGAAGGAAAATGCACATAATTTCCTCTTTTCACCTGCTGGATCTAACATGCAACACAAAGTGAAGTCATGCAGCTTCTAATGTCAGTGGATGAAAATTCCCACTAAGTAGTAAAAGACCACTCGTGACTGAGAGGGAAATGTCTATATTGGATTATTAACTCTGTGCTCTCGTGGAATTAAAAAAATTTATGAGAATAGCACAATAGCAAATGGAGCAAGAGGAAATGGAGAGTTCCTTATTCAGCACAGGATATATATGATGACAACCAAACAGTAAATGGCAAGCGATGGTTCCCAGTGTTTCCTAAATTCAGTCTAGCTACATTCATGTCAGCACTGGAAAGATACTTGTTCAAAATTGCACCAGTGCACAGGGACATCTGAGGAACTACCTACTGTTCACCTTGTGGAGCATTCTCATTCAAAACTTAATCCTGAGCCCTTCCTCAAGATTATACCTGTGCAACTGTGCTGTGCTTTAATTCCAGCCAGCAACCATGCACCGTGCAGCCACTCACTCATGGAGTGGCAGCCCTTGTGGCGCTCCCTACACTCAAGCTCCAGGTCCTCTCGGTGAAAGGGACAGACCACTTCTTACCTCGCTGAGCTCTGATCCTGGTTTACAGGAGCTCTCCCAGATGAGTTTCTCTGGGCTGCAGGAAGGCACTCAAGCAGCACCACCCCGTTCTCACCCAGAGCGCAGACACACCTTGGGGTCCAAAGAGGCACAGGTGTGTCAGAAGGTGACAGGCTGAGCTTGGGGAGTGCTACACCCCAGCCATTCTGGGATTCTATAGCAGGCCACAAGGATTCTTTGCCACCTCCTGAACTTAGGGAAAGAGACCCACAGTAGTACAAAATGATCTAGAAAATTATCAATTTTCTTCTGAAAAATCTCCATAAGCCTCTAGATATACAAATGACCCAGTTTTTCTCATATGTAAAAGTATATACCTATGATATATGTGATTCTGTACCTCCCATACATTTTGTACAATTCAATACTTCAGAAGAGCTGGATTTTTCTTTTTAAAGATAAAACAAGAAAACAGTTCTGAAGCCCTATCAGATATGCAAACAGGGTTTAGTCTGTACATTCTCCTCCTATCCCTTCAAATTCTGCAGGCCTGCAAACACTTCATTGTTGAAGTATGTTTTTTAACAAATACTCCCACTGAATTATTCACTCTTGCGACATAAAAAGAGTTCAGAATATCTTTAATTTACTGGAGGGGAAAAAGTCTGACTTGAATGGTCTGTGTTTTGTAGTCTGATCTTATTGACTTGAGATAACTTCAGTGCAGGATGTATTACTACCTGGGGCCCCTTTGGGCTGGTGTAACAAATATACAAATATGCTTCCATGGAAAAAATAAAGCTTGGTTTAAAATAAAGTTTTTTTGATGATCCTATAAAAATGACTTTTTTCAGCACTGGACCTTGCCACTTTCTCTAAACCCTTGATGAATGCAGCACTGCTTTCACCCTTCTCATCACAATCCCTCACATGGTACTTAAGCAAGAAGAAAGAATTCTCAGGAGAAGATTTGTGCAGTGGTTGAATACGATGAATAATCATGCAGTGTTTGTTTCCAGCAATGAACATAAATTCCATGGTACTTAGAGGAGTGTTTCTTCTGAACCTTAATTTACAGAGCAAGAGTGGGATTCAGTTCTCCTGACACAGTTCCCTAGACATCTCTTAGAGCCGGTGGAGAGAAACAAGCTTTTCTACATTATGATTCATTGATCTGTTTCATTACTTCTTTGGATGAGATGAACCTCACCTTAAGAGTGCCTCCTTCTCTCCACGGACTGGAAAGGGTTTCTATGAGAGTAGCTCTCTGCTTCACCACTAGAAGTATTTCTATTCATCCGTCTTCCCCTGCAAACAAGTACAACTGGACCCCTTCAGCTGCAATCCAGCCAGGATGATGAGCAGGGGACTGCCTGAAGCTGCCAGTGCCATTTGAAATCACACCCCTCTCCAGTTCTTATGCTGTGCCTCTTTTAGGGTTTTAGGGTTTTACTTTGAATACAAAGCATTCTTTTGAAGCCATCCCGCAGTCATCTCCAACTAACTAGTGAGCTTTGATTTGCTTTGTGAAAGTCTGAGTCCATCACTGGTTCTCCTTCAGAAGGCAGAAGATGCACTCCATAAATGTCCCTAATGTGCTTCTATTGCTAATGTGTCTTCAATCCACAGGATCAGGCTAGAGGCAGTTCAAAGTAATTCCCCATGAAACTTGCATATTATGGTTGACAAATTCTCATATTCAGCTGTTTTGTTGCATGACCATTTGTTTTGGATTCCACTTCTGGGTAATTAAGATACAGATGCAGATTTCTAAATGCGTCCTGCAGTCACCTTCCTCCGCTGATGGCTCACAGCCAGGACCTATTGCTTGGACACAGGTACCACGGCTGCTAGGCTGTGATCACCTATCCTTCTTTACAGCCGGCATAGCTGGCACAGTTCTGGTCTTGCCCTCCTTCATACACAGCTGGGAGACGGCATGTACCAGAGACTGCAAGCAGCAGGTAGCTTGCAAGCAGACAGGCATCTTCCATGGGGGAAGAGTGCTCTGGCATGTGGCTGACAGCCATAACATGTCATACATCTTGGAGGCCAAAAAAAACCTTGACCTGTTTTACTCACTGCAACAAACATGACCATAGCAATTACAGCACTCTGTGAGAATAAGGGAGAAATTGTCTATGACTTAAAACAGTTCTGCTCCCCTAGGCAGCTGCCCCAAAGAATGGCAGCATAACAGAACAATGCCTCCCCTAACTACAGAAGAGACTACAGCCGGTGGTTTGGGCTCTCTCTGCAAAAAGGGAATCCCCTTAAGCAGAAAACACAATTGAACCCAAGTTTCCCATATCCTAAATCAGTGCATTCAGCACTCAGACCTTGAATACAAACCTATTACCACCTCTGCTCCAGAAGAGCAGTTTTGTGTCCATCCAATCCTGTGCAGAGCTGCATCCAGCTGCTTTCTCAGTGTAAGCTGCAAAATGACATGGATGACACTGTAATTTATGGCCTTGATGTGATAAGCTGTAATGGCCGGAAAAAACAGAGGTTAATATTCTGCTAGCCTTCCTGCTGTAATTCGGCATACTGTTAATCCTTACCAAATGAAGATCCTTGAGGAAACAGGCAAAGAGAAGGATTGTAGTTTTAGGCAAACTTATCAAAACTCCTTGGTGTGGTTCAGACCAAAGGGTTCCTGAGCACATCCCAAATCTAGCACGTACATTAGGACCACCTTCACTAAAACTTGGGGCACTCAAAAAGTTTCAGCGTGCTCCGATTATGCCAAACATGACCTGGACTCGTCAGACTCGTAGGTCTTGGGCAGTGCTTTCCTAGTCGTACCACGAGCACCTACATTTGTTCATTTTCATCCGACCTTTGGCATCTCTCTGCCTTTTCTCTCCACCCTCCCGCAGCGGAGCGGCACTGCCTGGCACCGGGCGGCCGCTCAGCGCCGGCAGCACAGATGGCCGGGCAAGCCGCGGGGCACGGTGACACACGGGGGCAGCGGCAGGGCTCGCTCCCGCCTGGCCTCCTGCGAGAGTCACCCCCGCTCACCTCC